AGAGAGAGAGAGAGAGAGAGAGAGAGAGAGAGAGAGTTGTCTTTTTGGGGTGCCTAAATAATAGAATGTAGTACACTAGTACGTTAGTGTGGTGAAAATAAAACAATTCCAAATTCCAAAATTCCAAATAAGAACACAACGTGTGACCCATTGATAGATATGAGGCCCAAATGACAATGGGCTTAGCATGGGCCCAACAACACCCACATATGAACTCCTGGCCCCCATACACCTACCACTGGTTAATGATGTCATCCAGAGCCATCACTAGCGACCTAATTGAATCTTTGGTGAATGTGTATGATATGCGTAGGAAGAGAGGTAGCCTCTGGTCATAATGTCCTTTTACACCAAACGTCAAAGGGCATATTTGTAAATGGTCTTAAGAGACACAGTTGGCATAAATTTCCCTCTCCATGTGCAAAGCTACTTTGGAATACATGATACAATTTCACATGAATACTTCATGAGTTGGTTAAAGTAAGAGAGAGGACAAAGAAGGTATTCTCCTTCTTTGTCCTCTCTCATTCACATGAAGATCGAGATGAAAAGAAACCTCAAGTGGCATGCCCCCTCCGCCTCTCTTCCTTTTTATGTATCAAAGAAGTCCTAGATGATTATTTGAATTTGAAATGAAATTTTTTAGTGTTGATTAGAAATTGAGCCAAATTAAGCTAAATTTCATATAGTTTCAAATTGGAGAGAAATTATGGTTTGGATGGCTAGGGAATAAAGTTTGGATCTCAACCCTTGATTGAGATAACTCACCAAGGATTGAATGACTTGGATTAAGTCTCTCTTCACCAATAGATATCCAACATCAAGGGCCAATATTGCTCCCCCTTAAGGAAAACTTTTTACACATCCACTAAAACCTAATCTTGTCCTATAAATTGGGGTCTTCGATACCCAATTTCCATCCATGTCCTATCATGCTATTATGCTGCCCAAATTGCTCCAAACCTATCCCTTAGACTCTACGTCTCCTTGGACTATGTGTCGTAATCTCATTTGAACCCTTCATACACATTGAACTACGTGTTCTGATCTTGCTTGAATCATCCATTGTTGGCCTCCATATTACCTTGGCCTTCGTATTACCTTGATCACCCAATCAATTGAAGTCGATTGTATGAAGCTATCTTGATGCAACCAAGGGCCCTTTCACACCCCACTTTGTGGCTGTAATTAAGCCTCATTTAAATGTTACATCAGTGTTTTGATGGTACATTTTGGAGTCCTTGTCTGTAGCATTATAATGCCCTCACTTAGCCTCCACATTTATTGGACCTAGAGAAAAGAATCACCACATTACTTCTCTATTGTTCTATGCCCAAGTGAGGCACATCAGCCAGTGCTTTGGCCACAAATCTCAACATATTTAGCAACATTGTGTTTTGCTTAGGGTGGTTTTCGGGCTTCCCAAGTTGGAGCAAGTTTAGGCCTCGATCCCAGCACTATCAAATGAGGAGATCTGGTATGGTTGATGGAAGTCCCATGAGGTAATCCGGGCACTTTGATGATCTTATGGTTCCCATGGTTCTATGGTACTGTGTTTGTGTGTTTGTTTATGAGTTTATGTTCACGAGGTTGCAATTAAACTCTTATGTATTAATGTGTTGGTTGAGATCGATATAAGTTGTCTCATTTAATACAGTTGCAGAATTTTGTATAAGTCCATATGGTCTTGTATTTTGCAATGTCAATTGTGTGCTTGAATGGAAACTTGTGTTGGGGCAATTTAAAAGTGTTATTTGGCCCTTAGTTTTCTCATGTTTCAGTTCATTTTGAGTTCCATAACAATGGTATATTATTGTATTTTGGTTAATCATGTGCCTGTAATTGGGTTTATGAGGGACGTGTGTGTACAATTTTCAAATTGTCCCCACTAGCTAGACCATAGCATACTCCCAAACATTGGTATCAGAGCAGACCCTCTAGAGCCCCATTTTCCATTCACTTTTGATTTCCTTTTGTTGTGTTAGAGTCACATAGATCATAGAACAATGGCCACCAAGGAAATTTTGGCAGAACTACTCAAGGATGATGAGTCTAATGGTCAAAATTACACTACATAGAGGTGCAAAGTATGATATGACATTCATGATGAGCAGCTCACCCAACCCCCACAATTGGAACCTCGAGGCAATGTTTCCCAAGCCACAAGGGATGCGTACTCCACATGGAAAACCAAGCACAGCTCGGCCCAGAAAATATTCTTGGCTACTGTGGTGGATACATGTGCACACGAATATGGAGTTTGTAAATTGGCCAAGGAAATTATTGACAAGCTTGAAAGGGCCTATGCCACCCCATCTATCAGCCAAAAGGTACTGGCTCTAAATGGTTTCATGGACCTCAAGATGCAATAGGGGTCCAAGATTGGGTCATTGTTCAAAACTTCAAGGTCATATTATGTGATTTGGAGGCCAAGGACATACACTTTGAAGATTCGGTTCAAGCATGTCAACTTCTTTCGACCTTGCCGCTTTCATGCGATGCTTTCTATGTGACTCTAACACAACCAAAGGAAATCAAAATTGAATGAAAAATGGGGCTTTGGAGGGCATGCTCTGATACCAATGTTGGGAGGCCAAGGATGGGAAGTTGGGCATCGAGGATCCCACTTTATCCGATGCGATTAGGTGTGTAGGAGGTTCTTTTTAAGGGGGAGAATATGATCCCTAATCTTGGAGATTTATAGGCAAAAAGAGATTTAATCCAACTCATTCAACCTTTGGTACACTATCATCAATCAAGGGTTGAGATTTGTATTTTATATCCCCTATCCATATAAACCACGATTTCCCTTCAATTCAAACCTATATGAGATTTAGCTTAATTTGGCTCAATTTCTAATCATTAACATTTCTCTTCATCTCTATCCCTTCATGTGAAATAAGAGAGAATATCTTTTTTGTCCTCTCTCTTACTTCAACCGGCTCACACTAGTATTCATGTGATATTGTGTCATGTATCCTTAAGTAACTTTACAAGTGAGAGGGGATCTTATGCCAAGTGTCTCTCTTAAAACCATATACAAATTTGCCCTACAATTTATGGTATAATGACCATATTCTACCCCTCTTCCTACATATATCATGCACCTTCACCAAAATTTCAATTAGGTCCCTATTGATGGCTTTGGAAGGCTTTATCAACAAGTGGTAGGGGTGTGGGGCCCTTAAGGAACTCATATATGGGTGCTGATGGGGCCATGTCAGATAGGTCCATGCCAGGACCTTTGGCCATTTGGGCGTTATATGTGTCAATGGTTCACATGCTGTATCCTTATTTGGAAAGTTTTGTAATTATTTTCTTACCACTACTTTGCCTTTACAAAATTTTCAAAAATATTTAAAAATATTTTTTGACATGATTTAATAAAAAAAATGATTTGCGCTTTTAGTAAAATCATTAAACAGAAATTAGCTACTGGGGTTTGGATTATCATTATTCTAGGGCACTCCACCTAGCTTAAACCAAAATTCTCAACCATGTTCCAAAAATCGACCCAATGTAATCCATAACTCTCAGTCTTAAGCAAAGACTTATGATTGGTCCATCAAAGTCAACCAATAGGTGGTAGAATCCGGAGTCTGATGGATACCGATGTCACCTCTAAGGGAGTTGAAATGGAAAATATTGGATTTGCGAGATTTATTTATTTATTTTGTTATTTTTATTATAAATTGAAGGTTTGAAATGGACAGAGGACATAAAAGTAGCCCTAAATGCCAAAGTTCATGTCCTCAGAAGCTTTAATTTGTATGAAAATGGAAGAAAGGTGGGTTAGTTTTCTGTCCTTGGATTAGGTGAGTCCCATTGGACTCGGTCCAGAGTTGGTGACTCACCTGCGTATAACTGAAAATTGCTTGGGTTTCAGTAGTGACCCGAGGTAGTTATAGGTGTAGAGTTGGCCATCCTCCAGAACCTGTAGGCTGCCTGTTCCAGTTGACTCTCCCTCGCCCAATTTTGAGTTGGACTTAGCAAGTTTTAAAACATTGGTTTCATTATTTGGCTCGAGCCACTTAAGTTGAACCCACTGATATAAGTACCCTTACTTGTTCCTAGTTTGCAATCCGCAACAACAGATTTCATGGAAAAAAACATGTTCCAGGTTTGTAATTCGTAACAAGCAAGAGTATTAACATTTATTTGGCTTTGGCCACTTAAGTGGATTACCAAAATGCCCTTCCTTTTTTAGGATTCCAAACCCAAAACATGGGCATTTTTTTAACAAAATAATTGAGGTACTTGAGTAAAATGATCTTTTCAAAGTAACCACTTTTGTTGTTATTTTGGTTGATTTGACCACTTGAGTGGTTTTTTAGGTGTTGACATTTAATAATACATTCCTTGTGAATATAGTTATAGATAATTTAAATTTCTTTTTCCCTTTCGATTTTCTTAGCCAATCTGCAATTGCCTATATTATATCATGTGGTTGAGAATTGGAGCTCTAGAATGATACATGACATAATAACTCTTCTATTAGTTCATTTCCTTTAATCTACTTTTCTATGTACATCTTCATATGTGCTTGTTTTTGTAGATGATTGCAAACAAGATAAAGCGTTGCAAAACGGATTCATTCTCTGGGTTTGTCATTCTCACACTTCCTCTTGCTCAATATTGGACCGCTATTTTTTAATTAAATGCTTTTGTATTTCCTCAGTCATTTGAAGTATGGTTTGGTGTATTCTGACATGCAATGCATTCATACCAGTTGCTTGCATTTTCTTTTGTGATAACAATCACTACCATATATATTACCAAGGTTAGTAATATTGCATCTTGAAGTTGCTTATGCTGTAAATTGTTCCGTATTAGAATCATGTTATTGGAGATTGTACATATTTTTGTAGAGACATTTCATAAATAAGGAGCGTTATTGTCTATTCATGTATTTTTTTATTATTTTATCTTGCCCTAAGGGGTAGGATATTAGGTCCTTTACCTAATCTCGTAAGGAAATTGTGTCGGCGAGCATGATTACTGAAGGGAGTATAATCTTAGAGCTCAATTTTGTATTATTTTATGTATGCCAATTAATTTTGATTTATTGTAGTGCTGATTGTTTTTTGTGTCCTGTTGTCATCCAGACTAGAATTTGACAATCCCGAGAGACCAGAATGTAACAACCTCCTTTCAGTTTACCAGCTTGTTACCGGAAGATCCAAAGAGGTATTATTGTGTGCATTTTACTCTTTTTATAGTTAACTCATGTAAAACCTATCACTAGCGTTAACATTCTTCTCAACTTTATTTGGTAAGATTCTCATGTTCCTCAAGTTTATACTTGATTACTTTTTTGTGTTTGCACACGCTCTCATGTGCACGTGTGTTTGCATGGCTTTGAAAACTTTTCCCTTGCATTTCGTAGTTCTGTTACGAATTATTTCATGGAACATAACATAAAATCAAAATGACTGCTACTTCTTTGGTTTAATTGAAGCACATTAGCTATCATGGGTTGAGCTGATCATTACTAATTATTGTATGTTTTCTAGGAAGTTGCCTTGGAATGCCAGAACATGACTTGGGGCACATTCAAAACCAAGCTAACTGATGCCTTAATCGATCATTTACAGCCCATCCAGGTTTCTTTGCCTTTAAGTTATTTCTTTAGAATCGGTTTTAGAGTCTCTGGTTTGTACTATAAGTTTCAGTTCTTACCCTCACAGGCTCGTTATGAAGATATTATCTCTGACTCAGCTTATTTGGATAACGTCCTTGCTGAAGGAGCGACAAAAGCTGCCAGCATTGCAGATGCTACCCTCCATAATGTTTATCAGGCCATGGGATTTTTGCGACCATGAGAGAGAGAGAGAGAGCAAAAGAAGATGTCAGCATATAAGATGCTTCTACTGATCATTGTTAGCAAGACTATAAGATTCTTGCATCCATGATGCTGGAAAGAGAGAGAGAGAGAGGTGCCGGTTGGAACCGGTGCAGGGAATTCCATTTAAAAAAACGGAACCTTAAAAGTTCTCTTTTAGATGATTTTTGACTTTACATCCACTGCTTTTGCTTATTGTTGAGCTATCGCTATCAAGTTTATTCCACCATAAGGGTTGCCCCAAAAGTTGTTCTAGATTTGGTGGCATCTCCCCATTGTCCCTTCACTCATTGTTTTCAGCCGTTGTATTCAGTCAGTTTCTCTGCTTTCAATTGATTCCCGACATTTTTCATGTCTTTCATTTCCAACTTATAATAGATACATTACCCCTGGACGGTTTTATTTTTCTAGATTAATTCTTCTTGTTCTCTGTTGATTCTCTCTCTAACGCTCTCTCTGATCTGTGTATGTATTGTGCTAAGGAACTTACTTAGGATATGTACAACTCAAATGTGATGGTCACCTCAATAATTTGGGGTGGCAATGGGTCATGTCCGGGTTGACTCATACCTTGACCGAGCCCAACCTGATAGGGTCCATGCTGGATTTGGACCTGACCCGAGTTGGGTCCAAACATTTGGACTTGACCTGATTGGCCAGGTCCAAAACATAGACTCAAACTAGGATCTGGTTGACCCGATCTAATTGCCACCCATCTGAATAATTGGAACCCCATAATCGGAGAGACTTGCTTTGTTCGAGCACAACTATGTATTTCCTTAGTGATACAAAGACGGAAAAGTGTAGAATGAGATCATTTACCTTTGGTACAACAATGGTCTGGGGTTTTGGTGGTAGTGTTATCGAGCCCTATGGTGAGGTTTCTAACTCCATTCTCACTAAAAGGTAGGGGTATAAATCCCCATTGACTTAGCACTTTTGAGAATGGTTGGAGGCCTTGGCGGTAGTATGGCTGAGTCTTATGGCATTTTTGATAATGGCCTGGGGTTTTGGTGGTAGTAATGTCGAGCTCTATAGGGAGGTTTTTGATTCCATTCTCACCAAATAGTAGGGAAATGAGTTAGGATTTTAACGGTAGTACCAACGAGCTCTACAATGAAGTCTTTACAATGAAGCTTTTGATTCTATTCTCATCAAAGGGTAGGACTTCAACTCCCTACTAACTTATTTTGGTACAAGAAACTTAGAATCACTCCTGGCCGTCAGGTGGGAAAATGGTGGCCGGAGGTATACAACACAAATCTTATCAAAATCCATGTTGAAAACTAGCATGTTCTTAGTACAATTGTGCATCATGTGGTTAAGATTGGTATAAAAAATAAATAATATACAAGCCCTCTAAAAGATGAGGGCTAATTAATTTTGAACAAAATAGCTTGCATTAAATTGTGAATGAGATATTTTTCTTGATGAACGGTCTAGATATAGTAGGCATATTTTTTTTGATTCGTAGATATAGCAAGATAATGGAACTTTATTTGATGGATGGTCAGGATATTCCTGATGGAGGTATGACTTAATCTAGGCGGCTTATTCCAATAAAAAGACACAGAATTTGAATGTCGGCAAAAGAGGGGGACATATGCTTCCTAATTTATATAACTTAAGAGACGAATATGACACAATTTATGTGCTTCATAATTTGAATATAATTCAAGAGGAATATCTCATTGTATTTACACAAGGAACCCTAGCTCCATGAAAATCTAGAGCAATCATTGAAGGCAAAGTGTACCACAATGGAGGTTCATCAATGATAGGGGCTGTGGTCCAAAAGTGTTCCCATCGTCGACGTGCCACGTAAAAACTTTGCATGTGCTCTTACAATGTACCACCATACTCTAGAGAGAGAGAGAGAGAGAGAGAGAGAGAGAGAGAGAGAGAGAGAGAGAGAGAGAGAGTAGAGTAGTAGTAGTAGTAGTAGTAGTAGTTAGTTAGTTAGTTACGTTAGTTACGTAGTACGTACGTACGTACGTACGTACGTACGTACGTACGTACGTACGTAGTACGTAGTACGTACGTACGTTAACGTTAACGTTAACGTTAACCGTAACGTAACCGTTACCGTACCGTACCGTACCGTACCGTACGTACC